GTTTTAGGTTGTGTGGCTGGAAAAACGGGGTTTGTGGGTGTTTATCCCTCAAGTTATCAGTGCCCTTGAGCGTAACATCCAAGGTACAACTTCATTTTTTGATGTAACAATTCTCTACATCCCGCATGGAGCAGTTTCCCTTCCTTTCGGTGGACCTTACCCTGGTGGGGCTTGACGCCATTTCGATAACAGTAGCCTTGATTAACGAGCCGCTTTCATCTCCAGTTTTGGTGGCCACTGGACATCTGTTATACGTCTTTGGCCCGGGCATTGTCTTTGAGCCCCTCCTTTGGCGTTTCTAGACTCTGGGGTCTGAGTAGACCTCGTGGTCGCAATCGGCGTCAGCGTCAGGTCCATGATTTTAGTCGAGGGNGAGGGAGTCAGTAGTTTTTCCTGCTTTGGTTGCACCCTAGGCACTACTTGCATATGGGCTGTTGCTTTAGATGTGACGCTGAGCGGTCGCCCCACGGCCGTTATTGCTTTTAGTGTCACAATCAGAAGTGAAGTTGAGTTCCTACTAAACTAAACTATGGGTTTTTTTCCCTCTGCACCATTGGTTGCACCGCAGCCCTTGGGTGCTTGCGGGATCCCTCCTTGGTCCCGAGGTTTTTTACCAGTTTTGGTCCTGCCGGTACCAATAGTTTTGACCTCAAGGGAGTCGAGGAAACCATCGCTGCGTACGTCGGCTTGCATTGGTGTTCCAGTTTCTTAGGAGGACACGGTTCCGGTGAGGTCTTTATGGCGGCTACCTTGATGATGGCCCTTTGCCTTACTCTTCACTATCACGGGTGCATGGCCTTGCTCTGGGGTCTGCCATGTACCCTGCTTTCGGGTATCAGGTGTGATCTGATACCTTCCCCAGTGACTGAACTTTCTGAATTTTCTCACAGTTATTAAGCAATTGGTCTCGGACCGCGGGATTTCCGAATTCCGCTAGGATGAACCAAGCTTTTCTCTGCTGCAAACTACCTGCAGGGTCGATTCACAGACCAACCTTCTGCACCCTCTTAATAAGTGCATGTGGGGGTAACCCAGCGAGTCTCAAGAGGTCCCGGACATTCCTACATTCCATGTCTGCTCCGGCTTTCGCATTCCGGATTATCGGCTCCGCCTTGCCTGCTGAATGTCTCTAAACTTCGGCCAGGTTATCTCGTGCTTTTCTATTTTCACTTTTGCTTCTTATACAGCTTGTCCTCGACGAATCTGTTTTGACGCTTCAGAGCCAAATCAGAATCACAATTTTTATTTCAGTTTAGGTTTAGGTACCCCGTTTGAGCATTTCCGCTCAAATGGTGTCGGTACTACTTAGACTAAAATGTTTTCCGTAGAACCTTGTTTCTTCCTCTGAACTCGTCGAGGTGTCTGTATTGTACGCTTTATGATAGTCAGCATTGCATCTGTATTTTCATTGCTAGGTCTCTCTCGTGGTCATTTTTTGAAACTGTTCTCTTGGTTAAATTTATAATAATAATAATAATAACGGTATATTTCGCGAAGCCCGCGAAGCATGCTGGCGCGCATGATCAAAATGTACAACAATATGAAACGAGAACAGTGGAGAGCAAAAAGTAATAGTACAAAGTGTGAGAACGTGATTTTCAAACAAGTACGTAGAATATCGTAAATGGCCCTTGCGTTGAAAACGAAACACAAAGTGGACAAGATCATAAAGATGGAGTTTTTGGGTGATCTTTTATGGCGAACTTATGTCTTATGAAAAGTAATGACAAGATGGGAAATTGGGAGTTGGAATATCCCCTCGGGAGAAAATACGCGGAAGCGAGTTCAAAGAACAGAAACAGAATAGCAACGAAGAAAGGTACATAATTTTAGAGGCAGAGCTGCAATGGAGCTGAAGGAGAGTACAGTAATTCAAGAAGAGTCGACAGATGACTTGTGAATAAACTGTTTCACATGTCGATACCAGTGGGAGGACTTCTGTGATCACTGAACAATGGGCTTCGTGGCTTCACCGTTAATGGACTGATTGGTTTTAATTTATATTACTGAGGCGTTGGTCGCTTTGATGTGGGACTGACTACACGCTGGACACCCAACCTTAAAACACCTTGTAGGTGAGGCAGGGGTTATGATCCTCAACCTGGTCCGGAATGCGGACGCATGTAGTCTAAACGGTGGATACAACCGCGCCCAACAACCATTGCCGGAGCCAAATTGTCCATTGTGGGTGTAGACTCCAAGCCTTCGGCAGGCCCAAGCCAACCGAATCTGCAATAGAAAGGGTAAAACTCGGCAGTCTGGGGTAGTACCCAGCTGAGAAGGCAATAGCACGTTGCGACACAAAATGCGGAGGGCATAAGTATCCGAAAGCATATGTATTGATATCCGTATATAAAAAGGAAAGTGCGCACACAAAAACACGCAGGTCAAAAAGAGGAAGCGAATTAGTGGATTCGACACAAAACGAAAGAATTATAATGTCAAGTATTCACCGAGTGGGGTTGGTTCCACTTCTCGAGGTTTGAGACTCGGGATGTGTACTGTGTGTGTAGACAATGGAATACAATGTGAGCACAACTGCTGCATCAGAATGTATCATTCCATCTTCACGACGATTCTGAAGTTCTAGCCATAAATTGCGCGATAACATGCATACTTTCTCTCCTTCCCTCTCCCAAACATCAGCTAGAAACCAAACTTAGACTATTTCGCATTTCCGGCTTCTATTCCAGAGATCTTTTGCTGTAAAACGAACGGCGACTTTTGTCGGCTCGGTACGATGCTCACCGTTGAAGAGAACTGAAGTAAACCGAAAAGCCAAAAGCTGGATTCTATGAAACCTTCAATCGATCGGACCGTTTCACTAAACGAACTCAATGTTGAGTTGCAGACCCACACGCAGACATCCAAACGCCTCGTGTTTTTTTATCGATGATAGAAGACCTGGCGAGGCCTAAAACCTCTCCTCCTCGTCTTGACCCGATCACCCTCGACCAAACAGTGATTTCACGCAGAAGCTAGTCGTACTGACATTTTTTCCGATCATTTTTTCAAGCACAAATCTCCCAGCACATCTACAAAACAACCTTCAAAACAACTCCACCTATCCGGTTTTTGTGTCTTTTCACCTCTACGCGATTAACATTTGATATACTGCGTCCAGTGTGCACAGTTTTCATTTCTCTTCCCCGAGTGAACTCATTTCTAGCTAACACAAACCCATCGACATGTGTACACGTTTTCATTTCTTACATTTCCACCTCTGCGACTCTTCGTCTTCATATCTCCTTATCTACAGAAACATAACCTGTCAGAAATGTGCTACCTTGCTCACCTTCCTTTTTATCAATTTCCCGAATGAACGAAGTTGTCCACTGACCATCTTGTGTTTATCTTTGTTTCTCGTGCGCAAACAGATCGCGTACCGGTTTTTTCCTCTTTTTCTTCATAACCTTTTTAACTGTTGACCCAAATATTCTGCCATTTATTGTACAAAATGGTCGTGCATCCCAGCATGCCTCACGAATTTTGTTGAGAAATATACCATTTTTATTGTTAAAAAATAAGGATTTACCTGTTTCTGCCCATGATAATGTCGTTCTCTTTCTTGAGAAGCAAAAGCTTCTTCTCTAGCGTGGTAACTTCCCCTTCTAGCTCTTTTACAATTTTTATCAGATCCGACTGCGAATCCAGTGAGTTCTGGATTTTCACCCCGGTGCTGCCTCCCTTTGGATTGGGTTGTCGACCTGCTGTCTCCGCCAGTGCTAAGCATATATAGCAGAGCCACTGCAAGGCGTTGTTTCCCACGTAAGCTTTGTAGGCGTTACGTTCTATGCGGGCACACCCTTGGTGGTACTGTAGTATCTTGCTCTTCTATCTACGTTTACCTGACATGATGGTACAGCTTGTTTCAATATGCACAACACCTACGAAGCACTACAAATTCTGTTCGTAACTCCGCATGTGTTCTCCGAGTGTTGCTGAGGCATTAAGCAACCGTTATCAGTTATCGTCAAGTGGTCCGTTAACTACTGCAGTC